AAACTATTATTACAATGTTTTGATGCTAATATTAAAGCATTTTTAAAAAAAGGAATTGGGAAATACTATATGGAAATAGCGAATGTAGCACAGTGAGACCAAACAATTAATGGCTTGTTCTAAAACTATAGAATATTGTCTGTTGTTTTTTTGGGGTGGCCCTTCTTAAAAAGGGCAGATGCCTGCCATCAGATTAAATCTCCATAACATGCATTTCTGTTTGGACAAGAATGAATGGGTACTTTATATTATTAAATGAGTTTTTTTCACTAGTGCAGCATTGTATTGGAACCCTGCTAACTGCAAGTAACAGACAAAAAAAAGTAATAAAGGCCTCATTTTTGCAAATACTTCAATGCTCTAAACCCTAGTATGAAAAGGCAACTGTTGTTTCTCAAGAGTTATTGTTTGGCTTCTTGAGAAAGGTCAGCTGTATCGGTCCCAGAGCATATGCTACATTCCCTGTGTAACTAAGAGCCTGAGTTTGTTATATATCCTGTATTTTTTTTTTTCAGTCACTGCAAGTCTTTGGGTTTCAGAATGAGTGAATTGTATATTCATGTGGTTTCAACAAACTTTCAAAACTCCATAATTTTGTTGAAATGATGAAAGAACTTTGGTTAAGCATTTTAAACAAGTGGTGCTTGACTTTTGGGCCCCGCAGGTCAGAAGACTGGGTTGAACGAAGCCCCTTGTGCCAGGATCGGGACTTGTACCACCACCACAGGTCAGGATTGGGTCCCAAGCTTCCCTGCATGCCTGACCAGCATGTAGGGGCATGCTGTCCAGCCTAATGCCCATGCTGTCCAGCCTAATGGATAAGGCACTGGCCTCCTAAACCAGGGATTGTGGGTTCATGTCCCATCTGGGGGTGATAGTTTATGTTTTTCAGCCTCCACAAGAGAAGGTTGAGAGGCGACCTTGTGGCTGCCTATAAGTTCATCACAGGGGCACAGAAGGGAATTGGTGAGGTTTTATTCACCAAGGCGCCCCCGGGGGTTACAAGAAATAATGGCCACAAGCTAGCAGAGAGCAGATTTAGACTGGACATTAGGAAGAACTTCTTCACAGTTCGAGTGGCCAGGGTCTGGAATGGGCTCCCAAGGGAGGTGGTGCTCTCCCCTACCCTGGGGGTCTTCAAGAGGAGGTTAGATAGACATCTAGCTGGGGTCATCTAGACCCAGCCCTCTTTCCTGCCTATGCAGGGGGTTGGACTCAATGATCTATTGAGGTCCCTTCCGACCCTAACATCTATGAATCATAGGACACCCTATGGGTCTGGAAATTTAGCAGCAAGCACTTGTTCCCCTACTACCAAATTTTTGGATCCATTGGAAGCCATGCAGGCCAGATGATGCAGTGCCAGGGATTGGATCTGGTCTGTGGCTGGGTGGTTGGGCACTCCTGTTTTAAATAGCTTCCCTAGTTTATAGGTTGGAGGTCTATTGACTTGTGAGATTGAGGCTCCCAGACTGCTTTTGAATGAGTGACTCAGGAACTTTAAATACTTTTGAAAAAATCATACAACACTTCTAAATTTGGATTAAGTTTGCCTTCTAAGGCAGGGGTGGACAATTATTTGGGCCCAGGGTCCACAGAGTTTTGATGAATTGCAGGCTGGGTCGGCACCCTTGCCCCCCCACCCCCAGCTACAACCACTAACCAAAACTCCCTATGTGGGATGAGGCTGCAGGCAGGCAGGGAGCGGGTGTGTTCAGGAGCAAGACGGGTGGGTGAGGCTGGGATCAGAGTGGGGTCATGGGGCAGCCCCTGCCCTGTGAAGGTGTGTGAGGGGGAAGGCATATGGTTGAGGAAAGGGAGCTGCCTGGGTGCTAGGTCCTGGCAGCTGGCTGGGGTGAGGGGAGGGAGAAGGGGGCAGGGGGCTCGTGCAGCAGACCTTACCCAGGTGGTGTGGTCCGCAGCTGCCCCCATGGCACTTCGTAGGGGGCTGAGCCCTGCCTGGGGAAGCTTACACAATGCCTGGCCCTGGCCAGCATGCACTGCTTTCAGTGGATCTGCTCCTGGTGTGGCTGTTGTTTGGCTCCCCTTGCCTCCAGCAGCGCCGTCTCCTGCTCCTGCTGCACCACTCTGGGCCAGGAAGAAGCTTCAGCCAGGTGGCTCCTGCCCCAGTGTGTGGGGCTTTGGCTCTAGTTCCTGGCTGCCTTCCACCAACTTGGTGGCCTGGGCTGGAGTTAGGGTGGCCATCATAGAGGACAGTTCGGTTTTCTGGTACTCTGTCCTCTATTGATATAAAACCTGACGCCTTTATGTCCTCTATTTTTCTCTCAAAGAGAAAAAGAGGACATAAAGGCGTCAGGTTTTATATCAGTAGAGGACAACTGGACTGTCCTCTATGATGGCCACCATAGCTGGAGTGCAGCATGGTCTGCCTTGGGTGGGGCTCAGGCTCACGTGGAGCCCTGCAGGTACAGCCACAGGCTGGATCTTATCAGTTTGTGGGCACCTTCTCCATTGGCTGGATCCAATCAGTTGGTGGGCCGAATCTGGTCTGTGGGCCATATTTTGCCCATCCATTCTCTAAGGCAGTGTTTCTCAACCTGTGGGTCGTGACCCAAAAGTGGGTTGCAAGGATATATGAAAGGGTTGCAAACAAACTTTCGAAATGGATTCTCGTTTTAAAGGAGAAAAACGTAGGAAACCATGGCTTTCCCTTGCAGGCCGACAGAGTTCCAGCCTGCAAGGGGCTGCTTGAGGGGCACTGGGTCAGGACTGGCCACTGATGCTTACAAATGGGTCCTGGTACAAAAAGGTTGACAACAATTGCTCTAAGGAATAGTGAGGGTAAATTATCCAGCTTTGCATAGTTCGCCATTTGGACACAATTGATAACTCTATTTATATATTAAAATATATTCTGATATATGCATCTCTTTCTAGTTTGTTCATTCCTGTGTTTCATAGAATCATATTAAATTAGGGCTGGAAGGGACCTCAGGAGTTCATCTAGTCCAGCCTCCTGCTCAAACCAGAAGCATCTCCAACTAAATCATCCCAGCCAAAGTTTTGACTAGCCAGGTCTTGAAAACCTCCAAGGATGGAGATTCCACCACCTCTCTGGCTAACTTGTTCCAGTGTTTTACTGTCTTCCTAGTGAGAAAATTCTTCCTAACATCCAACTTAAACTTCTCTTGCTGTAATTTGAGACCATTGCTGCTTGTTCTGTCATCTGCCATCACTGAGAATAGTCAAGCTCCATGCTCTTTTAAACCCCTCTTCATGTAGTTGAAGGCTGATATTAAATCTCCTCAGTCATCTTTTCTCTACACTAAATAACCCCAATTCCCTCAGCCTCTCCTCATAAGTCATGTTCCTTAGCCCCCTCACCATTTTTGTTGCCCTCTGCTGGACTCTCTCCAATTTCTCCACATCCTTTCTGTAGTGGGGTGCTCAAAACTGAACACAGTACTCCAGATGTGACCTCACCAGTGCTGAATAGAGGGGGATAATCACTTCCCTCCACCTGCTGGCAACACAGATACCAATGCAGCCCAGTATGCTGTTAGCTTCCTTGGCAACAAGGGTGCACTGCTGGCTCATATTCAGCTTATTGTCTGCTGTAACCCCCAGGACCTTTTCTGCAGAGCTGCTGCCCAGCCAGTCAGTTCTCACCCTGTACTGGTGCATGGGATTGTTCGGTCCTAAGTGCAGGACTTTTTGTACTTGTCCTTGTTGAACCTCATGAGATTTCTTTTGGCCCAATTCTCCAATTTGTCTAGGTCACTCTGAATCGTAGCCCTACCCTCCAGAGTATCTACTGCTCCCCGCAGCTTGGTGTCATCTGCAGACTTGTTTCCCCATTACTTATTATTAGGCTTGGCAGAATTTGATTTTTAAAAAAATCTTTAAATAATATTGATGGCTAAAATAAATGTGCATCTTGAAGCATTTATGTCAATTTTTATTGATTTTTTTTTTTTAAATGATCAGGATTGCACAAAATTAAGGGTGTGGGGGGCAGACAATTTAGTAATGACAGGATACTGTTAAGCTTTCTAAAATCACATGTCAAAGTATAAAATGTAAATATTCATAAATCATTAAAGCATACATACTTTAAATTTATTCTGTTCACTCATCACCAAGGAAGAGCTGGGCTGGGCAGGGACCAGAAGAGGAGGGTAGTGGCATTCTCAGAGCTCCGGGAATGCAGGGAGAGGTGATGGCCATCCTTGGCCCCTTGTGCTTACTCCAGGGGAGTATCCTGCTGTCACCAGGCTGGAGCCTCCAGTACTCTCTCCCGAGTCCTGTTTATCAATGTTTACTGATAAAAATCAAATCCTGCCAAGCCTACTCATGACTGGCATGTACCATTTGTAGCAAATGTATTTCATAAATGCAAATTCAAAGCCTGAACAGTTTCCTCCTAGATGCCTTCTTAAACTGACCCCTGCCACAGCATCTACAAATCTCTCTTGTCTGCCTTTACATACCTGTTTAAAACCCCTGATTTATGACAAACAACCTATGCCCCCACACCTGCCTCTGCTATTTCTTTGTCTCCTAGTCTCTTATTTATCTGTTTGCCAGCTGCACAGTAAACCTAATGTAGTGAGCTCTGTGTAGCACACACTGTCTTCCTCTCAGCTGTTTAGTATAATAGGGACCCCAGCCCCTGACTGGTCCATAGAGACTATTGCAAGAAAAATAATTGGTTTACAATCTGAAATATACAGTGTTTGATTTTTGATGGGGACAGTCTGTTCACTGATGCTGTTTACCTTCTTCTAGTTGGGGGAGAAGAAAGATCCCAGCCGCATGTGCTTGGAATGAATAGGTGCTGGAATTCAGCATTTGCTTTCTGCAAACCTGATTGAAACCTCACACTTTTTCAACTATTAGTCCTGCAAGCACTCTGATTCAATGGTCAAGGTACATTTAAAAGACAGAGAGCAAATATAGGTGAAGTACACTTTGTTTAGTTAACTGAGCAAATAGTTCCGATAGCTCTGGCTTTATGGTGAAGTCGGTTTATATCTTACCTGTGCTTCAGTGGCTTGATCTTGCAACCGGTTCTCCAGCAGTCTTGTCTGATGATATTTTTTTTCCAGAACAAAACCTAAAAGGAGTGGCATTAAAAAAATGCTTTGTCTGGAGACTGTCACTTTCTCTCTCTTCTCTCCAGCATAATGCCACTTACACCAGAAAAAGCTTTCACTTCTCACTGCCTTGTTCCCAGACGCACAAGACTTATGAAGCAGTTTAAAGAGGCCACATCCAGGATCCTTCAGTACTGGCAGTTTTCAATGTGACACAGAAGACTTAACTGACTGACATGTCTGTGACTTTCTTGAACCTCTGCTTGTGAGAGCTGAAAACAATTCTCGTTTTAAATGAGGAAGTGTTGATGAGTAAAGCGAGATGTATGAGGCAATATCTTGCCTGTACAGTTAAGCAGATCTTGACAAACAGGAATGCAGGATACACTTGTACCTTATATATATCTACTTTGGTTAGTCTATAGCACAGGCTGTTTTGAGCTGAAATTCCCATCATCAGGTGCTGTGAAAGGACATGTAGAAAGCTGAGTGTAAGAAGGAGAGAGAAATTAGAATACAAAAGTCAAGTGAAGCAGGGCAGGGTATACTGCTGGGAGAAATGAGCAGTAAACCCATAGGAACAAAGTCTCAAAAGGTATTCCAGATAAGAGGATATGAATCCATAGTCCCTGTTTAAACTATACTTAACACAGTCCAGTCCGTGGATGATTTCCTGTTCCACAATTTCCTGTTCAAATCAGTTTTTAAAAAGTTTGCTGCCTCAGAACAGCCATGTTCAGGTCAGGAAGGGAGTGTCCAAGGAGGTTAAAGTGTTCTGTTGCATGCTTGCATGTCTTTCTACAGCTGAAGTCAGAACAGTATTCAATCAGTCGTATAGGGATCGTCTAGTCTGCCCAATGTGGATGACAGGGGGCACTGTAAGCAGGTGGTGGTGTATTTGACATTGGTGGAATTGCAGAGGAATGAACCTTGGATATTATAACCTATGTTATTCAGTTTAGTGATGAGGTGGTCAGTATTGATATGGGGCACAGAAGGCATTTTGGTCTGTTGCACGTTCTGGTGTCTCTGGGAGTTAGGTAGCCTGTTGCTTGAGACACACCATCTGAGGTGTGGCAGGGGGTGGCTCTAAGCACTTGGCCCTTCCTTGACTATATTATTGTTAGAGCCTGTAATTGAATGGGTGTTATATGGTGAGAGCCATACAAGGAACTAATGACTTCTGGACAGATCACTGTCTTTGTCAGATCAATTATGAACATCTGGCTTGCTTGGAAATGCCAAAACCAGCTAAAAACAATATAAAAGACTCTCAACTCCAAATGTCTTCAAGACCTGAAGGTCTGTAGGTGTCTCTATGAAAAGTTCTCTACCCTGTCCACAAATAAAGGCAACGTTGAGGAATTCTGGAAGGGGTTTAAAACTGCCATCCATACAGCCTGTGTTGAAGCCAAACACCAAGATTGGTTCAATGAGAGCAGTGCAGAGATTCAAGCCCTCCTTGACCAGAAGAGACTAAGCTCATTCTGCTTGACAAGACTGATATCTCATCTCAAGCTCAAATGTGACATGCATTTTTTGTTTTTGTTTTCAAGTGATGAAAGTTACCTACAGCCCAGCTTCCCATGGTCCTACTTTTCTGAGATTGAAGGATGGCTTGACATTTCTCAAAGAGAATGAATCTATACAAGCTAGATGGAGAGAATGCTTTGAGGCATGCCCAAACTGTGAGTTTGACTGTGGCAGATACTACTATCGAGTCCATCTCCCAACACCCTGAAAGGGGATTCTTTGACAACCCTCCTAGACTAGAAGAAATCTGGCATGTCATTAAGGAAACCAAGAATGACAATGCTACTGGACCAGATGGCGCATCTGCTGAAATCTTGCGGCAATGAACTGGTACGGAGACTCCAAGAATTCATCTCTGAATTTAGAGCGACAAAGAGATCGCTCAGGACCTAAGGAATGCCAACATCATGACTGTCTTCAGGAAAGGAGATAAGACTGTGTGTGGGAACTATAGAGGTATTGCTTTCCTTTCCACAGCAGGGAAAATACTTCCCTGCATCCTTCTGAACCATTTTCTACTTGTTGCTGAGGAAGTCCTGTCGAAATATCACTGTGGTTTCAGACCATCCCATGGGGCAACTGGCATGATTTTTATTGCCATCCAGGTCCAACAAAAGTGTCAGGAACATCATCAGGACCTGTGTATGTCCTTCATTGACCTTACTAAGCCTCGTGGAAAGTACTGGCCAGATTTTTGAATGCCCTGAAAAGTATGTCAAGGTCCTGAGCCTTCTCCATAATCGGAAGACTGTGACCATTCTATGTAGTGGATTGGAGATGGAGCCATTTGTCATCCAAACTGGGGTCAAGCAAAGATGCATCATTGCCCCAACTCTGTTTTACCTCCCCCCCCCCCCCCCCCCCAAGTCATCCTCATTTTCATTAAGGACCACCTTCCTTTTAAAATTGACATTGACATTGACATTGAGAAGCCCTCCATCTGTTCAGTATTCAGTTTAGGTAATTTTCCCAAAGTACTCAAAACAGCCATCCTTGACCTTCAGTATGCCAATGACTCTGCCATCCTTGCACACACAGAGGAAAACCTCTAGACCATGCTGGATCTTCTTGGATAAGCCTACTGAACTTCAGTCTTCTTGATGTTGAGAGCAAGGCCCAAAGTGTGCGATCAACTTGCCCCAGGCCATGATATGACCCCCTCCCCTTCCCAAATTAGAGAGTGAACCTTAAGGAGATCCAGCACAAGTTCTAGTGCACGAATGTCTCCTTTGGGAAATTGCTTTTGTGTGTCTTTATTCATCGCAATCTCCAGAAAGACACCAAGATGCAGGTCTACAGTGCAGTCATCTCCATCCTTCTCTATGGACGTGAAACGTGGGTAACTACCATCATCATTTCAAGAGTCTGGAGAGGTATCGCCAACAATGCCTCTGGAAAATCCTCCACGTCAATTGGGAAAATCGCTGCACAAACACCAGTATCCTTGCTGAAGCCAATGTTACCAGCATTGACTTAATGACCCTTGAGCACCAACTTTGCTGGACTGGACATTGTGTGCAGATGCCTGACTCAGTTCCAAAAACAAGAGCTCTGCTCCCAGCTTAGTAATGGCCTGACATTTCATGGTGGCCAGAGGGAGTGTTACAAGGATACATTGGAGGCATTTATCAAAAAAAGGATTCTGACATCAAGAGCTGTGAGTATCTCACTGCCAATCAAGTTCAATGACACTGCAACCACAACCAAGTGGTAGCCTCTTTTTCCAGGTAAAATGTCTTGCTGTCAGAGCAGAGGAGAGAACAGAGGAAGGAAGAGAGGAGGAATCCCAGCCTGCAGCCTTTCCCCCCACCGTGGAAAGACCTGAAACTTCTCCTGATGAATTTGTGGCTCAAGGATTAGATTCTTAAGTCATCTCAAGACCTGTCAACAAGCCATGGTAGGGCTCATCCTCAAATTGAGAGATTGCTGCTGTCATTGTCAACAGTAATATCAAGTTTTGAAATCTACCAATCTGATCTGATAATCTCTCCATAGATGCCTCTAAAAGTATTCGTGTGTCTTGGCCCATGTTATTTAGCTAGGGTTTGGGGCTCAGCCAGGTTGTTTCCAGTAGGAGGATTTTTAAATTTTTTTTTAACAAGTCAGGTGTTCTGACTTGTGCACAGAGACTTTACACGAAGCCCTGTTTCCCTGGACACAGTGGGAGTAATCAGGAAGCAGTTTCTTTGCTCAGTTTCAAAGCCGGCCTTTCTAGTTCAGTAATTTCCTGAAAAGATAATCTTTCTTTGGCTACATGCAGGGCTGGCACCATTACTTCCCATACTCCCTACTTACTTTTTAGCCGGTGTTTGCTTCTGATAAATGCACAGAAGGACACAAATCAACACCCAGGCTACTCTGTATCTTCAGTCAATCACAGGAAAAACCCTTCTAAAACTCTCAAAGTTTGTTCTTCCTCACCATCTTGGGTTGTGGCCTCTGTTTTAGCTGTTACTTCAAATTTTAAAACAACCCCGCACTAATTAGATTCTATAGATGGAAAACATATATTTTTTTTCCATGTATAATATCTATTTATTCAAGGGTTGTCTTAAATCTGTTACCTGTCTTCCCTCCCCCCACACACTGCTGGCTCATATTCAGTTTATTGTTCATTGTAACCCCCAGGTCCTTTTCTGCAGAGCTGCTGTCCAGCCTGTCAGTCCCCAGCCTACCCTGGTGCATGGGATTTTTCTGTCCTAAGTGCAAGACTTTGCACATGTCCTTATTGAACCTCATGAGATTTCTTTTAGTCCAATCCTCCAATTTGTGGAGGTCTCTCTGTATCCTAGCCCTCCCCGCCAGCATATCTACTACTCCCTCCCTCCCCCTGCTTGGTGTCATATGCAAACTTGCTGAAGATGCACTCTATCCCATCTTCCAGGTCATTGATAAAGATATTGAACAAAACCACCGTCCCCAGGACTGACCCCTGGGGCACTCCAGTTGATTCCGGCTGTCAACTATACATTGAGCCATTGACTGTTACCCTCAGCCTGATGCTTCAGCCAGTTTTTTTTATCCACCTTGCAGTCTATTCATGCCACCCATACTTCCTTAGCTTGCCTGCAAGAATGTTGTGGGAAACCTGTATCAAAAGCCTTGCTAGAGTCAACATATACCACATCCATTGGTTTCTCCTCATCCACAGAGCCAGTCTTCTCATCATAGAAGGCAGTCAGGTTGGTCAGGCATGACTTGCCCTTGATGAATCCATGCTGACTGTTACTGATAGCCTTCTCCTAGTCCTTAAAAATGGATGCCTTGAGGACCTGCTCCATGACTTTTTTCCAGGGACTGAGGTGAGGCTGACCAGTCTGTAGTTCCCTGGATCCTCTTTTTTCCCTTTCTTAAAGATGGGCATTATGTTTGCCCTTTTCCTATCATCCCAGACCTCCCACAATTACCATAAGTTTTCAAAGATGATGGCCAGTGGCTCTGTCATCACATTGGCCAACTCCCTCAGCACCCTCGGGTGCATCCTGTTTGGCCACAGAGATTTGTATACGTCCAGCTTTTTAAATTGTCCCTTTCTTTTACCACAGTTGGCTGCTCACCTCCCCCCACAAACTATGCTGCCAGGTGCAGTCATCTGGGAGCTGACCTTGCCTGTAAAGACTGGGGTGAAAAAGGCATCAAGTACTTCAGCCTTTCCTCTATCCTCACTAGGTTCAGTAAGGGACCCAATTATTCCTTGGTCCTCCTTTTGTTACT